CTCTTATGAATTACTGATTAAGCGAAATAAAAAAAATGGTCTAGATGAGGATAGCAAGATTTTACTTAATCGTTTACGGAATGTTGAAAAAGATACTCGTTTAGGAGATGAAAGAATTGGAGTAGTCAGCAAAGAGATTATGCTAAAAGTTAAAATTAGTGTTGGATTTGGAGGATTAGTTAGCAATTCTTATATCCAGACAGGGAACTTGAAAAATTTGAACTGAAATTTAGGGCCTGAAAAGAATTGTACTTAAATTTTAAAAACTACTTTCTATGTCAGAAAAAAAATAAAAAAAACTAAAATAATTCATTATGAACTGAATTAAAGAAATAATAAAATCTATCATAGCAGTATCAGCCATAAACTTAATCACTGCTAATCTAAGAGAATTTAATAGCATTAAACTAATAGTCTCCGCAAGTATTTTTATCTTCTTTTTTGGTCAATTACTTAAAAGAGCAACAAACAATAGAGAAATGATGTTAATAAAAATTCTTAGGGAGTTGGGAGATATTTTGGTAAATATAAGTATTCCCATATTGGTAATTGGAAGCATTCTTATGAATCCTACCCAACAAAACGAAACAGTTAATAGTCAAAGAAGGGAGCAAATGAACCAAAAGATTATTGAGCAAACTGTTTAGAAAATTCGAGATATTCTTCGCTCATTCTCACTAATCCTTTGCGTCCTAACGGCACAGGAATACCTGATATTGGATAAATAGTTTGTTTCTAATATCTCATACTACAAATTATAAGTTGGAGATCTATTTCGAAGATCTAATTGTTCAACTTATTATATAGTTCCATAATTTCTATTACACTAATTAGTATACCTTTCAATCAATGATTTAATTTCTTTTGCCAGTTTTCTTGAATCAAAGTTTAACTTTTCTACTCCATCACCACTCCTATTACCAATTATTCTTTTTATTTCATCTGCTCTCGTTTTTCCCTGAATTTCACTCAGTTTCCTTTTCTCTTCCTTTAATTTTGTTTTTAATGCATCACACTTCTTTCCAATTTCTTTAAGCGACTCTGTTACTTTGGTCCTAATTTTATGTCCTATATTGCCACCAACCAACAAACCCATAGAGCAACTTGCTGTATAAACAACAGTATCAGATATTGTAGAATCAATTTTGCTTCATGAATGTCTAACTTTTTCATAATATTCTCCACTGTTCGTTACTATGTCAACAGGTGCCGTAATTACTGCGGTTCCAACACTGCTAACAAAGCCAACATTGCTATAATTCAATCAAGGCAAATAAACATCCAAAGGTAAGAAAGAACTACTAATAACGCCAAATAACAACCCGATTGTAAAAAACAGGTTTAATATAAATGATTCTACCATATTTTTTTCTTATAAATTATTATGACTTTCTAACTCATTAGTAACTAATTCATTTTGCTTTATCTCCACAGAATTATTGTCAGGTTGATTAGCCAGTGCCCATGAAAATATAACCCCTGCTGAAAATACACCTCAAGCTGTTCATGCTAAAGTTTCTGAAATAAAGTGTAGAAACTTCTTCCTCGAATCCTCTAAACCT